TGAAATAACTTACAGAGACGAGTATCGGTAACTTATACCTTGTTTTGAATTCGATGCTTACTAAAAAAAAAATACTATCAGAAGGACGCACTTTCAGCGCTACCTGACCAGAAAGGTCGCCACGTCAAACTCGATGGGCTTAACCTCCTCAGTTTTAGCAAGGTTAAGCGAAGGTTGTTCTTTAGCACGAGAGCAAACTGTCCTCACAGGTGAATGCAAAAGCATCACCTTACACCGTGAATTACCCCCTTGTTTGTGCGTGTAGCGTTACTGTTTGTGTAAGTTTAATCATCTCGATGTTCATGAATGTCCTGTCCTTGTTGTACAATTTTTGCATCGTACATCATTGCATACGCAAATAAGTTATTTTCGCTAAATATAAGAGCTTGCACTGTACATACGCATGATCGTCATTGTTCACTTTTCTGTGCGCACATAAGCTATGTAAAATATATCTGAAAATAAAATTCTCTTAAACGAAGATTAGGCCGCAGTGCCATGAACTAGCGGCAGTGAAAGGTGAGAACTAGACAAAAAGCGCAGGCCGTAAGAGAGTACGCGCAAGCCGCTCCTCTAGTCAGGCCGTGCCAGCTTTCGTTTAGTTCTTAGAATCTCCGCTGGATGGCGGTACTTGTATATGATGAATATATGATGAAAAGATGTGAGATGGCGGTACTTGGAGTGTTCACTAGATGGACAGACCGATGGATGCACGGACGGACAAACGCATGGACGAACGCACGGACGAACGCACGGATGGACACATGGACGGATGGATGCACGGACGGAGGGACGCGCGGACGGATGCACGAACAAACGGACGGATGGCTGCGCAGATGGACTGATGGATGCTTCGCCCCACTTCCCATCATGCACTCCGTGTATATGCTGTGATTTTTTTTTATATGCGAAGCATCTTATACTCGAGGGTGTGTGTTCGTCCCTTGGAGATCGTCTGCTCCCCCACTGCGCATGCGCCAACTCTCCCCTTTCTTCGGTTGAGCGTGAGAAGGTGGGGTAGAGGAGGCTTCTCCTCACCCGTTCCTCTCTCCACCACAGTTGTGTGCTCGTAATGCTGTGCGCGCTCGCGTCGTTGCACTCTGCTAGCGGCGCTGGGTGTTCCCTTTGCGAGCCAGACGCGGTAATGAACACATAAGGGAGGGGGTAACATAAGGGGTACACAACGTATACACAATCCCACGTACAAATCAAACATGTACATAAACATACAAATGAAAAAAAAAACAAATAGAAACACAAGTGAACTCCAGCGCTGCTTCGCATCTACACACGGTTCCCTTTAATGGGAGGTGGTGTAATTTTCGTGATCTCGTGACAACGCAAGCTCTAGAGCCCAAGGGATCCTTAGTTTCTGCGCATGCACCCTGGTCGCTCACAAATTTCTAAGGTCCCGAATTATCTGTAGTGCAACACAATGACGGCTCAATCGCTTTGATGGCAAATAGATCACAGCCCCGCCGCGGTGGTCTAGTGGCTAAGGTACTCGGCTGCTGACCCGCAGGTCGCGGGTTCGAATCCCGGCTGCGGCGGCTGCATTTCCGATGGAGGCGGAAATGTTGTAGGCCCGTGTGCTCAGATTTGGGTGCACGCTAAAGAACCACAGGTGGTCGAAATTTCCGGAGTCCTCCACTACGGCGTCTCTCATAGTCATATGGTGGTTTTGGGACGTCAAATCCTACATATCAATCATCATCAAATAGATCACAGACTAAAGTTACATAGCCTCTTCCGCTATCACTCCCAGTAATACATGGGCAAAACCTCCATTTTTTTTCAACGCAGCTGCGTTTTCTCGTTAGTCCCTTTCGCGTTTCCGCCAGATGGCATTCCCGCATTTAGGATCATTGCGTGTCTACTGTTTATTTTTCTTACTTTGTAGCGATGCAATGACCCAAACGCTTAAGTACCTTTCACTCAGTACTTAGCACACTACGTGTTTCACTCGCGAATAAACGTCAGTCTACCCTGTCTCCCTTCACGCAGTCAACCCGAACTATTATCGTATCTGCTAAACCGAGTTTCCAAAAAGCCACAATAAATCGAGTGACGTAATACCGAGTGCATTGCAGCTAACACAAAGACGTGCTTCAGCTGCGGTTTCTGTCAGTGTGAAAATATGAAGTACGAATGAATTGGACTAGTGAGAAAAACAAAAAAAAAAGCTTTAGAGGGTTAAAAGAGAGCAAATCATGCAGGATGACTAAGATGTAACCAAAGGCAGATCTTTAATGAATAGGTGACTATTCATGTTAGGGAGATACTTCAATGTCATTCCTTGCCTGAAACCGAAGGTATGGTTCAATTGTTTTGTTATATGTACATTCATTAACCTCTGTTATATTTCAGAAATCATGAATCACTTCATTCTTTTGGGTCATTCATTCCCTTCTTATTGGTGCTTCATCTTATTGGTGCTTTTGTTACAGTGGGCTATGATGCAACGTAGTCTAATCATGGCTGCCGGGGTCATATTTCGATGATAGTAGACTGCAAGATGCCCGCGTGCTTAGATTTTTACGCAGGTGAAATAACTGCAGGGTGAGATATTTGCGGAGCCCTTCACAGAAGCGTCTCTAATAATAATACGTATTGGCATTCTGGGACACATAACTACACAAATCAAATTACAAACTTTATCCTCCTTCTTAACATTAAAAAGGGTCTGAAGCGATAATAGAGGTAATGATTGGCCGGGTGCGATGTCACATGTAGCGACTACTGAAACTGGTGAAAAAATTTTAGGAAGCGTCTGCCATTTTTTGTGTTTTCGAAGCATGCCTAGGCTGTGCATTCAACTTCGTAATATCACAGTCATCATGCCTATAGGTTTACTGTGTACAAAGGAGATATTGGTTATGCAAACTGTGTCTGTGCAACAAATTTTTTTTTGCATTGCTCAGATGGAGAAATGAAGAATGATGCAAACCTACAACGCCACACGGATAGCGGACGTAAGTATCAAAATCATCTCTTGTTCTAAGTGCGTCTGAATAATTAGCTATCTGTAATGCAGTGGTATGTGGTGCGTAGCACACGTCAATAGAAATTTTGTGTACCGACATGCGAATGAGAGCGTTAAAGAAAAAGAAGGTACGTGACACTCGACGGGAAAAACAATGCCTCTGACAGTGATCGAAAACTTTATCAATATAGATCAGACTTGTCGCACTCATTAAACGAATTATTTCTTCAGATGTTAACAAAAGAATCGATCAGGCTGATTAATAGACAACATTTCCATGTAAAGGTCAATAATATGTCATCGAACGCTCGGGCAGGTAGCAGTTGATAGAAAACACTAAAGTGGAGTTGGGTGGAAACGTAAATGGGAAAAAAAGCATAACAATAAAAAAATGAAAAAAAAATGCTTGGCTTTCAAGCTGACTATCGCATGACGAAATTTCAAACGCGATCGAAGAACAAAATGCACGGAAATTTTGAGGGAGGAAGAACAAATAAATTATATTTATTTAAATGGTATTTATTTAATAAATGATAGCCGGGTACCCCTGCAAGAGGGGTGAAGGTTCGTCACAGCACCCCCCTTTCTGTATGTCAGTGTATTGGGATGACTTTGCGCCCCCTTCTCGCCACCCCTCCTCATAATGTCAATATATGGGAGTTCCTTTGCGCCCCCCCCCCTCTTGCTTCCCGTCACATTCAACATTACGTAACATTTGTTTTTCCAGGCAACGCAACCAATAAACCAAGGCGTTTTCCACGCAGGTTCACTGCAGAACTTTGGCTTTTGGTGTCAAGTGAATACGCGGCAGCTTTTCGAAGCTCCGATGATTTGCTCGCTTACCTCGCTGCTATCGTAAATGCGGTGAGTTCCAGTCAACTTTTGCGTAACATAGCATAACTGTTGTTCACATAAAGAGCGTTTAGTGCAACGTTCCTGAAACTATTGCTCGTTTTCGTTGCTTCACCTATAGCCAGTTCACGTATCCCTAGGCGAATAGTTAGCACAACTCTCGATCACTTCGTAATGAGAAAAAAATAGCGTGTGTGAGTTCGAGTGCAGCAGCGCCATAGCAGCATTACTTTTTGATCTTTCTTGGAATGTCCACGTTACGGCCAGCAGTAAAGTACTTTCTGTTTGTTTAAGGACTTAAACTTTTTGTTTGTCAATAGAGAGTTTGAGAATTGGGAGCCCAAGACACTGGGTCCCCAATCTGCGTTGCGTAGGTTGCTCTTGCGTTCGGATGATCAGCAGAGTTTGAGAATTAGGTGAAACGCATGGGGTGCCACCCGTGACGAAATTGAAAGTTATGTGAGACGTTGGCCGTACGACACCATGGCTCGCGCTGCGTCTGCTTCGTCGCGTTGGCGACCCAAGACGCCTTGGGGGCACACGCTAGTTCTCGATTTTCGAGCCTCACTCAACGCGAACGCAAGAGCCCAAGATTGGCTTGGGTTTTGCGCATGCGCCTTGGCTTCTTGAGTCCTCAAGCTCCTTGGGGCCCCAATTCTCAAACTATCTATAGACGGACTTCCTTATAGGCGAGTGGCCAGCGTCTGAGAGAGAAATCCGTTGTTGAGTTCGCCGCATTATTTTATCGCTAACTTGACCACTACTCAGTGGTCATGGTTGATGTCAGCGTTAATAGATATACAACCTCTCGCAGTTCTTTCCAGGAATAAGACCGGTGAAACGTCATGCTCTCCACTTGCGTGGTAGGCGGGTACGTCCTCCCAGGTAACGAGAAGATATGGTTCAGTTGGTGCTGCATTGTGCAAGACCGCTTAAAATAACAAACGAAGGACAGAACAAAGCAAGCACTATTGAAAAGTGGCGTTTCCGAAGTGAGACATGTTATCGATATACAAACATAATATAGTTCCCCGCGCCCTGATCTTAGGCTCTATATATTTCACTGCATTTTAATAAATTCTGAATATACTTGTTTGTATGCCTTCAGATAAGATGTTGTTCGATTGTTCACTACATTGGGATCTCTAATACTAGTAAATGGAAGTTAAGTAGCAGACATAAACGCTTTATGGCATCATCTTTTATGATGAACTACGACTTTGTTGAAAAAGACTCGCATTTATGAGAACAAAATCATGTCTGTTCCTGTATTATCGGCTAAAAGTAATATTTTTTCACTTAGGTTGCCCTGAGGTTCATAAATATGACAAATCCAAAGATACGCTTTCAGCTTAACGGCGTTACAATTGATCACGTAAGTAACCCTTTTCTAGTTCCGGAAAATTCATTGCCATATCTTCTTTTTATTCACTCGGTTTGTTTGAATGCGCAATTTTCTACAATTTATCTGTTCAGTACGACGGATTGTCAGAGACCTGGTTTGAACGTTATAGGGTTTTACATGAAACGAAGTGTTTTAGGAGCAAAGCTCCTTATTACCTCACGATATCCAACTGTTGTGGTCGAGCTTCACTGTTGTCCCTGGTTGAAGCGCAGGTGCGAAACATCTGTACGAAACGCCATATACAGAGCGTACATAGCACGCATATGGTTTAAAAATAAAGATTTTCATGCAGTTTATCATTCTCTGTGTGCAATGCCGTCTACAGAGCGTAAATAACACGCATATAGGTAAAAATAGACATTGTTTTTATCGTTTATTGTTACCTGTGCGCTAAGTCGTCTACAGTGCGTACATAGTGCGCATTTAGAAAATAAAAATTTATTTTCTCATGATTTCGTCAATGGCGCTTAGCTCCATCATCGTAAATCCTTTTGTAGAACTGCAGCAATTTTTGGAAAGCCTTCGTTTTTTTCTTTATATTCAAGCTTGAATGTATAAGTGTTGGCTAATGAGTGCCCTATTCTTTGCTTTTAGAATGACACCCTTACCAAGGATGAAGTTTGTTCCATATACTATTTAGGTATATGGCGACGCTCAAAAAATATCACTTGCGGCGTAGACGTTGAAGACACGTTGAAGAGAATGGCATTTTTCGTAAATGAGTCTAATATCAGCGCCGACCTCGTTTACCTCTTTACAAGGTGAATTTACATTGCACAAAATAGTAGCGCTGTCAGATGCCGTCGTCCTCGCTCGGCCCAACGCGGGCAATGTCACAAAAAGCATGCATATTAGGCGTGCATCTCGCATCAGGAGGAGGCCTTCTTGCTCTTGTTCTTCGAGTACGTTGATGATGATATCAGTGCGAAGAATTTTCAGGGTAAGGATGTTGTATGCTGTCGTTCCTTGGCGTAACTGTAGGTAGAGTGACGCATAAATACAGCAAAAAAAGAGGAAGGAAGCGTAAACTAGAAAGAGAGAGAAAGGGAAGAATTAGAAAAAAAACAGATAAAGACCAAGAAAGAAAAAGAAATAGACAAAATAGGTGAAATAAGTAGGTCGAAATAAAAGGCTAAAAATAGCGAAGAAAAAGACAGAGAGAAAGGAGGAAGGAAAAAGAAGAACAAAGAGAGACAAAGAAAGCTGCCCAGCTCTGCACTTCCATTAGGCTTGGCACGGCTATATATGGTGAAGATGCCTTAACTTTTCATCCACTCTAGAGAAGCACGCTCGCATGAGTGAAAAAAACCTTTGACCCCTGTGAAATGCCACTAGTGTTATTGCTACATATGTGGTTCCCCCTACAGGAGAATAAAATTTTTACGCCGCGTATGTTATGGTCGGAGTCGGCCGTGTGTCGCGAACAGAAAATTCCCCTTGTTAACCGGCATGCGCCCAATCAATGACATTTAGCAAGAGATGCTAAAACGTGCGCCCCCTGAATCGTGTTTGCCACTCGAGTGCCCCCTTGTTATATTTTATTGGACAAGTTTGGTGAGTGGCGCGATTTGTCTAACATATGTGGCACGTTGGTTCTGTGAGAGTGTTAAATAAAAGCAGTGCTTTATGTTTGAGAAGACAAAGAATTGAGATCGAGGCAGGGAGGTTAATCGTAGCAACTGGCTTGCTACACTGTAATAAGGAGAAGATGCATGGGAATAAAAGTTGAGAAGGAAAGCGGAGAGAAAAGTAGACACGCGAAAAGAAAAAAAAACGAACAAAAAAGGTGTGGGGTGCTATAGCCTATTCAATAGGCCACTACCGTGCAAAAAGTTCAATAAGTTGGAACCTATACAAGGCGACGCTACGAATACAAAAGGAAAGAGAATGAAAGATTCAGAGAGAAAAAAAAATGAGAAGGAGAAAAATCAAAACGAAGAAGAGGAAGAAAGACAGAAAAAAAGTAGTGTTGTGCGGGCGGCTTAAATTCGGCACAGAGAAGCAAGGAGTGCGTCCCTGAAGGACAAAACAACTAACATTATTTCAGCGACTGTGCGACACTACGGCTCGGTAGCGTACCCTCGCTTCTCTTGTTTTTGCCAGACTCGCTCGCTGGAGTTCGTGCCGACTGTTTGTGCCCCCGCGATCTCCGACGACAGCGCAGCTCTGGCCGACTGGGCTCGCTCTACGCCATCTCCCGACGCCGACAAGAGCTCTCGCCGAGTGGTGCCCCGTCCTCGGACTCCTGCGACCGTGTCCATCTTTCCTATCTACTCTTTACTTCCGTCGTTTTCTCTCGTTCGCTGTCCCTGTGCCTCGCTCTCTCCTTCCTCGCTATCGCTGAACCTTTTAATACTATCCTTTTAATCCCTCCTTTAACCCCCCCCCTCATGAGCTACTGTTAAGGTATCCTCCCCCTGAGAGACAGTTACGGGGCTGACTTTTCTTTTCTTTTCATTTAAAATCACTCACTCTTCTGGTTCCCACACAAACGCGATCACATTTCACCGAAAAGATGGGAGAGGATGTCTTGCTGCTGCTGTGTGACCGTGAGGGCACCACAGTAGAAAGACAGCTATACGCTGCAAACAAAAATAAGCCCAGATGGGAGTAAATGACTTGTTATCTCGTGCATGCTCCGTTGGGGATTTAAAAAACACCGTCCGGAGAGTCCGGAAAGGGAGCAAAAAATTTACTCTCCGACATGACGGGATTTTTGATGGATTTAGGGGAGTTTTGTTTACATCCATCAGAGAATATTTAAGGTCAGTATGAGAGTAAACTTTTACAGCCACTGAAGAAAAAAAAATGTACGCGGCCGTGGCATGCGCAAGCGTATCTACGATTAAATTACCTGAAAAGCACACAATATTCATTATAGGTACAGAAACATGCACATTACGTTCGCATTATCACGGCCACTGGATTGCTGTGATCCAATGGCCGTGGCATTATATTACAACAGCCAGACTGACCACAGCTCGCCGCTCACGCTTTACTACTTTTCAGTCGTCGGGTATATATAGGCATGTATTTCGACCTCCAAAGTAGCTCTGCAGGGACGCTGCTTTTACAAGTAATTAAGCAATAAACATTCGTGGCGTAGGTATACATATGCAGTGACCTCATAGAAATTCTCCAACACACATGCCTCTTATTGTATAAACCAGCCTAGTATTTATTGTGTTTTTTTTTACTATAGCGAATCTAACAATGAGCTGGTGCTCAGTCGCATAGACTAAATTTGCATTAGCAGTACTGAGTGGGAATCCGTAAACTGCACTAAACCATACACAAAGCCCGAGCGGCCGTGCATGAACACTTCAAGGCGCACACTACCAGCGAAGATCCGAGACACCACCACTGCCGCGTTCTACCACTAGGCCTCACTCAGGAGTACGGCACGTCTATACGATGAATGACAGCTGGCGATCACAAAATGCTTGCTGCTGTGCAGTTTACATCGACGTTATTTTTCACACGCACAGCAATAGGTGTGCATTATTCACGCAGTTTAAGCTACGGAGTGATAGACTTAAACGAACGAGATGGTTCGCAGTCGCAGTTCCTGTTGCTCGCATTGTATGGGCGTGGGGTGCGACATTTTTGTGTGCCTCTGCCCCGTTCGGCACTCGCATTTGCACTAGTCATTTGACAGCTGCGGTCACATGGGGCCGCCGAGAATATACACTGTGTTTCGTTCTACAAGCCTTTATTTTATTTGAAACAGATTCTTAGCTTCGTTGCTGTAAGCTCGTACAGAGCTCGCCACGGCGGTCGTGCGAGCTCGCTACGCCACCGGCTTGACACCGACGGCCAGCGAGGCCTTACCGCTTAGAAGTTGGAGCCGGTGAATTACGAGTGACACTTTGAGAAGCCACCGTCAGCGTCGGTCGGGCGAGCGCGTCGCCGACGCAGCTCACACACCGGCAGCCGGCCAGCTTGCAAGCTCCCGAGGTCGAGCGAAGCCTACTTCCGATAACTTCCATGTTTTAGATGGTGAAACTCGAGAACACGATGTAAGAGTAGGTTAAGTGCTGATACTCGCCGCTCCGCGTAAGGAGAGGGCACGAGCAGATTCTGTTCGCCAACGACCTTGAGCTATAGTAGTTAGCATCCCACAAGTTCAGGTGGCGCTACTACATGGCGTGCCGTATTCACGCGGTGCTCATTCTGAAATTCGCGCGCAAGGGAACATCATTCTGAAAGTTTTGGCTGCATGGAACTTTGGGATTTAGAAACGTGTTGCCCTGTGCCTGTGAGCATGGTCAGTGCATTTGGTTTGCTGATTCGCGCTTACTGATTCAGTGCACGCATGCCTCAACGCTGCACATTACAACGAGTACGCGTCAACGGTCTTGTCACTGGCTGCGCCTCTAAACTGGCAAGTGGTGTTTTGTCCCTCATTAAAAGATGCGGTATCAGACTTGTACGTATAGCGTGTGTCGTTTTTCTAGACACCGCGTGAACCAGAACGCTTGGTCAGGTGGCGACGGCTTATACCGAAAGCTGACAGAGCTCTGCAGCCTACTAACTATGCGTGCGCGAGGCGAATCGCAAAAGAAGCAATCTCTGCCACATATAATTGAGAATACAAGGGAAACGTCGTGTTGCGTGCAGCAGAGAAACTTGCGCTCACTTCACCTTCTCTGCCTGCCATTTTTCCGGGCTACACAAAATATTTGATGATTGTGCAGCAAAAAAAAGGAAAACTGTGAAATAACTAATTGCTCTACTGCCGACTTGTCGGAAGAGACGGGACCTAACGACTGCATCTTAAGTGCCTGACACGACCGCAGAAAGTCGCCAAATTCATTCATTGCACGTGGAGACAGCGACTCCACAGCGGTACGATGATGAATCGACAGACATGCATGCAAAAGGCAGCCCTTTGACTTCAGTAGCAACGGGTTTCCTGCAAGTGAAGAGGAAGATGCTTCTCAACACGAGACTGATAGTGTGGATTTATGCGCTAGCGTCTTAAATCCTCATCACGAGGGAAAAGTAATTGCTTGTTTTAAACTCAGATTCCATTTTTTGAGCTGCCTCATTTATGCCTGTTAGGACCACGAAAAATTAAATGTTGTAGAACAACCAAAGAACAGAAATTGTACATAATATTTCTGTGATGCCGCCGTTGTTTTTTTGTTCACTATATATACTCACGTGATTATAGTTAGTTTGTCATACTTGATGTCGTTAAACCAGGTTTTCTCATTTATTATGCCTCTAGCACTTCATCATCACCGTTTTCAAACATTGACGGTGCACTTACGACCATGGTATTTACGACACAACACTGTTTATTAAGTCGAAGGCCTTAGATAGCCTTGGATGCCTCATCGAACGCAAATTACGATTGCGGAATCCTGCGTCTGCGTGGCCTTGGGCCACCCTCTGTGAGTGCCATCATCAGTTGCACCAAACGGAAGCAGCCCCGATGGCGAACACGATCTTGACGTGGCACCGGGTGCAGTGTCGTAATCATCTCCCAACTTATTCTTACACCATGCCCCGGAAGCAGCCGCTGACAATCGCAATAGCAGAGTTCGGGGTGCTTGCGTCCCGGCGCAGCTCTCAGACCGGCCGCCGGCCAGTTTTCATGCTCTCGAATTCAAGTGAAACATACTTCAGATCGCTTCGAAGTTTTAGACGGTGAAACTCCAGAAGCAGCCCCGCAGACGCTCGCAACAGCCTACTTTTGTTACCACTGAAATTAGTCCTCGCGATCCTTCGTAGCTCGGTACTTTCAAGCGAGTTATTCGTGGCATTAGGTTGAAGAATCGGGCCGATGTCCGGCGCGGTTTGACAGTACGAAATATTCTGAACCATTCACACTAAACACCAACCGGCCGTTGCAAATCTTCCCTGTACTTATAATTTCATTGACTGTCGACAGATGCTTACATGGTCACCCACACAATTAGGACACTGAAGTTCTACACAGGCGTGCTAAAAGATTCCCATACACACACACACATAAACACACACTTGCACGCACGCACGCACGCACGCACGCATGTCATAACGGAAAAGGCTTTTTAAAAGTCTCATAGAGCGTTTATATAACCACCTGAGCTGAAACTCCGTGGGGAGTTTAACAAGGTCATGTCGTTCATAAACTGCGTCAATAAGCAAGGGGCGTTCTACAACGACATGTGCCGAGTTCGCTCCGAAACGCGGAGTTAATAATT